GAAAAGTGGGTGTCTATAAGGTCTTTGGATAACTGAGCCCCCCCTTACCACTAGTGTACACATTTACGGCCAAGGATGGAAGGAGGATCAAGAAGAGGAATTTATAGGATCAGACCCCACATTCAAAGTTCAGTTCAACAGGCTTAAAAACATTACTTTCTAGTAAAATTAACACCACTAACATCAGGTCAACAAAACCTTGCAGCATCTGAATGCCACTCAAAGTCTAGCATTAACAAGGGGTTTTATTGCAAAAAGAAAACACAATTGTCTGCAGACAGCAACATTCCTTGGGAGGCTAGAACGGAGCAGGTTCAGGAGTGATGGTGTGTGAATTAACTACTGCATTCCTCTTAAATGTCCAGGTCTGTTCTGCAACAGAACCTGGGACGGCTGGTTGTGCTGGGACGACACACCTGCTGGAAGAATCACTGCTCAGAATTGTCCGGATTATTTTCCAGACTTTGATCCGACTGGTACAGTATTTCTTTTTATCATCTTACCTTTCGAAGGAAGTCTTCGAAACGTTCATGCCATTGAGCGGAAGCATGTTTTCAGTGGCATTTTTGAAGCATTGTGAAATCTCAGAGGGTTTGGCTGAAATTAAAATAAATCAAACTTTTGGGCTGCCTAATCTATATATTTTCATTTGTATATTTTCTTTTGTAAAATGTTTTATATGTATTTATATTTATGTAAATATAACCCATGGATTTATGGATACTAGCAGCCATGCAGACTAAGAGAAGTAATTCAAGAACATTTAAAAGGACAAAGGAAAGGAAAAATCAAGGACAAAAATATTGCTAAATAGATATAAGGAAATATATGTGTTTTAAACTCCACAAAGAGTATTGTTTGAAGAAAGACACAGTTGTGTGTTCCACACTCAGGACATGTTGCTCATAGGTGCTTGATGCCACAGAGTGCTAAATCCAGCACAGACAGGGTGTACCAATTGCAGTTAAAAACTATGAAACTAAACATTGAGGGGGGAAGGTATATAAATCTAAAAATTTTCAACAAGGCTAAACCAAAATGTATGTGCCCAACTGGAAAGTAAGGAAACAGACTATTGCATAGCTGTTGTGGTGGGTTGACCTTGGCTGGATGTCAGGTGCTCACCACGCTGCTCTATCACTCCCCTCATCAGCAGGATGGAGGGGGAGAAAATAAGATGGAAAAAAATTCATGGGTCAAGATAAAGGCAGTTTAATAAAGCAAAATCAAAGGCCACGCATGGAAGGAAGGGAAACCAAAAGATTTATTCTCTACTTCCCATCAGCAGGCAACATCCAGCCACTTCCCGGGAACTTCAGTACTTGTAGCAGTTGCTCCAGAAGACAAACGTCTTCCTCCTTTCTCTTAGCTTTGATTGCTGAGCAGACGTCATATGGTATGGAATATCCCTTTGGTCAGTTTGGGTCAGCTGTCCTGGCTATGTCCCCTCCCAAGATCTTGCCCACCCCCAGCCTACTGGTGAGGGCGGAATGTTGGAGAGACAACCTTGATGCTGTGGCGAGCACTGCTCAGCAGTAACGAAAACACTGGTGTGTATTTAGAAACAGAGGAATTTCTAGGCTGGATCAGATCCAGTATGCGTTTCACTGAATCCCATTTGCAGTAGAAGCCAGATTGATCAATGTTTCTGTTCTTTATAAATCAAGCTATCCACGATTAGAGAATTCACCCAGCAAGTGGGAAAATTCCAGTCTGAGGGGATTCAAACCTGCCTCCTAACTTGGATGGAGGAACCTCCCTCTTTCCAGTGGAAGCAGGCATTGGACAGGACGGATTGAAGGATTTGTGTGCCTGGAAAGTGAGCTCGCATGGCAGTGTGACTCTCCACCTCTTGGAATACCCTGAGACCTACGCCATAAACCTTTACAGCAGTTTACATCCCTGAGACAGACAACGGGCACCAAATCACAAAGTCTTGTCTTTTGTGACCTTTTACTTTCTGACACACTTAGTCTTGACCTCTTTTCTGTACAGTGTCATAGTTTTCAAGGAGGAGTCTTGCAGCGGGGCCACGCTCGTGGCTAATCATTGGAGCACCTGGGGGGAAACAGGCTGAGGAGCTGAGACCCTCAACTGGAGGGGTGCCTTTGACCTAGGTCTCGTCTCTGTGGACAAGTGCTTCAACCATGAGGCTATTTGCACCAAAGATGCCAGAAGAGCATTTTAAAAGACTTGACCAAACTTGATTCAGTTCCCAGGCAAAAGTGCCCACGTTCAGGAGAGAGCTTGAGGCTCTGGATCCTGAGGTTGCACAAGCCTTTTCCTACATGCATGTTAGAGGTGCCTCTTGGATGGGGTGTGTACCTTCCGCTTCGGTCCCCGTTTTATTCATTATATCCTCCCCAAGTGTCAACAGCCCCTTTGATAAATATGGCAATTTACTACAAGGCTTCTGCTTTCCCTGCTTCCATGGTTTTCATAGAAAAAAAATTGTGGCACTAACAGTCCTAGTTTATGTATACTCCATGTGCTGTTCAGCTAATACCTCCAAAAGTGGGTGTTGGGCAGCCCTGTGATCACAGAATTCTCCCCATGACTCGAGGTCCTCATCCCTCAGCGCATGGGTGTGATTACAGAGCCACTCTCCTGCTCGCTCCCAAGCCATCTATTCCCAGCTTTTCCACTTGCCTGCTTGTCTCCAGTGACTTGTTCTGAACTAATTGCTCCACTACAACAGCACTCTTCAAAGTAAGCCATCCATGGAGAAGCACCTCACTCCACTTACTAATGCTTATTAGCGCCAAGGTCTGTGGCTTGTACGACTGATTGCAAATCACTCCTTAATGTACAGATGTGTGCTGCAGAGTCTGGCCCACAGCGTGTGCATACTGCAGTTACTCTTTCTGCCACGCTTTAAAACTTGCAGATTTGGGAATTTTTTAGTATTCCTGTTCTCTGTACATAGCCATAGGAGGAAAAGCCTCCTCCAGTAATAATTTCCTGCTGTTCTCTCTGCCATCCTGTTTAGGAACAATACGTGGTCTTCTGGACTCAGTATTTTCCCCTGGCACATCTCTCTTCTCCTTGTCAGCACCTCTGTCAGCCTCTTTGCCTGCATCCTCGTCAGTCGACACTGTTTCCCTGGCTCGGCAGCAGCTCAGCATCTCCTGGCTGAGCCAGAGCCACTTTCCTAGAGTAGCTGTTGAGTCCCCCAGCACATATTACAGCTGCGGCATCAAACCAGCAGGTAGCCAGCCTTTGCTTTACAGGTGGCTGATTGTCACACCAGGACTTAATAAAGTAGGAGGGAGACAAGAAATCGTGGGGATGACCAGAAGTCTTTCAACTGCTAATGGAAATGGCTGCCACTTAGAGGTGGCCAAAAACACAGGTTCAGCTGTCCTGAGAAGTCTGTCAAGTTTTGTGTCACAAGTCGTTATTTCCTTGGGTGACTTATGCCTGTTAAACAAAATACAGCTAGATCTTCTGCTGAGAAACAGAAAATTCATCCTAAAGAACAATGATTTCACAAGATGAAAGCTGCAGTGCCTGTCAGATTTCCTTCCCATTAAGTCTCCGTGATATCCAACCACCTCAGCATGTATTTTATGCGTGCAAGTAACCCCATGGACTTTTGAAGCGAGTATGTGCTGCTTTGGGCTGCACTGAGATCTGCAGAACCACTGTGTATCAGCTCACTGATGGCTAAGTTACTTTAGTTTGAGGCCATGTATAGCTTTGAGTCCTAGAATAAAATGATGTCATTCAGCTTTCTTTCTGTGCTTTGATACTTACATCATTCGTAACTGGAAAAGTGAAACATTATCTGGCAACATAGGATCGGACTGTCCTCCCGTCTGCACCTGTGGGTGCTGTATACCAGCTCTCTGTATCTGAACCCACAACAACATTCAGCATCGATGCCAAGAAGAAATTGCTAGAGTATGTTAGAAAATAGATAAGGTGAAATCATATTCTGGAGAAAAGGGCCCAGAAGCAAAATGATGGAGAATGCACTCCGTGCTCCATTCATTTTGTGTCTGACAACTTCACAACTAACTACCAGATGTAATCCCACTTCTTTCACTGAACTTACATTAGTTCATACTAGATAGAAATCTATGTTCTGAAAGAAGGAAGGACCACTGTGGTAATCTAGTCTGTTCAGTTAGCTAGGACTTCCCATACTTCTTTCCTTACCTGAGTGTCCTGGTTTCGGCTGAGGAAGCTCTAGCCTGTGAAAGGAAACGAGGATCTGAAAGCTAACAGACAAACAGAAACCCCTCTCTACAAGCTGTGACAATTTTGTCCTTTTCAATAGTTGCCTCTTGTAGCATTCTCTTTCTCACAATGACCATCATGCGCAATGTGATAATGCATAAAAACAAATCAATTTTTCTGGAAAACATACCAAGACCTACTGCTTTAACTCCAGTGACAGCAGGAAATTCATTGTCTCATCCACTCCTGACTGTGAAGCTCTGAGCAGGGTTGAGTTTTATATTCCCTTATTCAAGCAACATGCACAGTTTCTCTTGAGTTGTATTTTATATTCATATTTTATCCAGGTTAATCTTTGGTGTAATCCCTTTGAAATTCAGGTCACGCTGAAATTGCTAGGAATTGAATTTGATATGAAAGTAGTATGTAATTCATGCTGGTAATATTCTTGCAAATAAAAAAAAGGGAAATACATTGTGGATGTAATGGCCTTCTGGCAAGGCAGATTTACTGGGGGCAGCAGGAGGAGCAGAGCACTGCCCTGTGCCGTGCCCAAGCTGTTGGGTTTGTCGCAGGGGAGTGTTATATTACGCACCTCGCTCTCCCTGCACGGTGTGTTTGGTCAGGACTAATTTGGTGCAGTCGCATAGCAATGGAGCTGAATGTGCAAGGTGCGCTGTGGCAGCCATACCTTTTCCTTTCACTTTCGCTCCCTTTCCTCTTTGGCAAAGAGCAGTGGTTAAGAGCAGTAGCCACCCCAGCACGGCCCAACTTTGTCATCCGAGGCTGCATTTAGCAAAACTCCACTCAGTTCTCCACGTTGGTGGGTTTCTGTCTTTGGTTCCATTTTGTAAACCCGTTACTCATAACTCTTCATGTGGCTCCAAGAGCAAAGTTTTGAGAAGTGCAATTTGGAAACAGATTGAAACGAAGTCGTCTCCATGCAGGAAAAGGGGGAACAAACTGAATAGCCCTTGCAGACCCTTTTGGATTTACCAGCTGTGATGCCTATGACTATAAGGGACTGGATTTGAGGGACACAGGTGCATCCTTCTCACAGCTGGCAAAATGCACAAAGCATTCAGCTGAGTAGGTTGCCAAGCTGACAAGAGCAGTCATTGCAGATGAGAAATCGTGGCCTTCCACAAACCAGAGAGGGAGAGAGACCTGCTGGGTCACAGCAGCAGCTGCGGCTCCTTCCACCCCCCTGGCTCCTGGCAGGCAGGGAGACCACTTCCTCAGGCATCCCCTAATTCAAGCACCTTCCCAACCGCGGTCTCCCCTCCTGCATACCCAGTCCATCATGTGCTCCTTCCCACCCGGCACTGTGCTCACGTGCCTGCACTCACAGCGGGCAAGGAGCAGCATCCTCGGTCGGCAGGAGCCCCCGGGACCTGCTGGAGCACCCTGAGCAGCGTAGGGAGGGCTGGGCCTGGGAGAGCCCTTCTGCTGCTGCCACAAATACAAATTTCCTGACTCTGCCTAAAAAAGCCAGCTCTGTATTTCTGCTGGTCCTATTCTCCTGTCTGGAAATGATATCTTTTAGACAGTGATAAATAAAACAAACCTGAACTCTTTGTCCAGCTGCTTCTTTTCCTGCTAGCCTTCTGTATATTTCTGTCCTGCTTCTTAGCAAGCTTAACAGCTGTATTTTAGAAGTCAGTTCTTATCCCCACAATGCACAATATTATACAGATTCCAGTTCTGCTGACTGAGACCTTCTGATGTTAGTGATAACTCTTTACATATTAGGATACTGGAATTCAGGTTTTCTAGGGTCTCCATTGTATTATATCAGATGATTTTTTCAGTTCTGAAAAATTTTCTTCTAGAATATTTTACTGAGGATGTAAGTAAATCAGATGTGCTACATCAGCTATTCCCTCATCTGCAAAACTAAGTACTACATAGGTCTATCCAAACAATGGCAAAGAATCCAATGTCTGGTATGTGCTGAGCACACACTGCAACAGAGGAAAACTTCCTTCTACTTCCAGCTTATAACTCAACAATAAATAAAAAAATGGTGTTGACTCTTTTAACATCTGCTAGCTATAGAGTTGGTCTCATTGTAAAAAAACTGATTGATAGAACTATCATGTTTGTTCCAAAGTTATTGGGTTAAGATATTTCCTACATATAAAAGAATGAGTTGTTTTTATGAAAATATGATACATAAAAGCACTATTGGTAGCACAAGCGATACCAGATGCAAAAATATTACTACTGGTTAATCTTTTTAGACACTTCACTACTCCCTTGAAACTGCCCTCGTGGACAAGATTTCTCTTATCCAATTTTCCCAGACAGCTCCTGAAGTGTCTGTCTGTCTAAGCTAACTAGAGAGCCTGCGCAACCGCCTATGAATTGCGTAACTTTGAGGCTGCTAAAGTCAGGTGAGATGAATCCCATGCAATGTCACTATTCCTCCACTTTGAATAATGTGATGCCCAAGTGGTGCCCTATCCAAGCTGTTAGGGTATAGACAGAGCCTAAAAAATTAGTGTTTACATAAACATTTGAAAAATCTTAAAGCACACACTTCCATTTTGCCTTGCTAGTGTTGCCTTACCCATCCTTACAGGTGTGTGTATTTCTTCAGAGCTTACTAGATTCTTCTGGTTAGCATTAAACCCAAGACATGCCCAGGTTCGTAATCCCACACCTGCTACTGGGCCACAGCAGAATAACTTGCAGTAGAACAGTGGTTGGGTTACAGACTCACAGCTTTATTTGTGTATAAAATCATAGATTTAGAAGAGGTGTTTCACCTGTTTAAGTCACTGGGATGGGCAGTGGGGAGGCTTATCCCCCAGCCCCATATTCTGACAACTTCACAGCAAGAAATTGGTGGGCCACGGCCGCTTCCAGACTAGGATCAATTGTGTTTGTCTGGCTTCAAGGAAAAGTATGAGGCAACAGGTTTGTCTCTTAACTTACATTAAACTTCGGCAGAGTGCCTACCTAGGCACTAAAGTACAGAAATGATAGATGATATTACCATCATACTCTATAGCATATTAACAAAAGCCATGTACTTTGGAGAGTGCATGGGATAGTAGGTACGATGTTCGTACACTGTGTTCCGTGGTAGCGTAACCATTAATCTTTTATCTATGACTGAAAACTTTTTCCAGCTTTAGATAATATCTGGCAATGAGTACAACAGGAACATTGCTACACAGGCAGTCTGAGATTATCTCCAAGCTGCAGATGGAAGGCTGAGATAACATGTACTGTTCTTCTTGGTGTTATTGATACATGTATTGATTTTCAACAAGTCCCCCAAAACAATGATTTGTTGTATACAAATCACAGTATTTTCAAAAGTATGCTGTGTTCTGGAGGATTGTCTTTTTTTTTTTCTTTTTTTTTGCAATGTCACTGTATAAAGTGTATTTCTAATCAGAGGAAGATAGCTCAGTCTATACAATCCTTTCCTTGCCAGTATGATCGATTGCTTTCCTTAGGGTGTATAGAGGGAATATGAATATTCCAAATTAATAGATTCATTAGTCATCAGAGCTGACTAAGAAAAATAAATGCAAATTTTGAACAAAAAAAATGAAAATTTTTATGTTCAAATGGTAATTGGCTCTGTAAAAGTGTATTGACTGGAAATGCTGATAATCTGTGTATAAAGCCAATAAAATTATAATGCTAGAATAGGCAAAGGGAAGTCAAGATAGACTTTTTAGACTATTTTAAAAGTCAGAACTGAAAAACTGTGTTTTTCATAAATAAACAGCTGTGTCACCATCTAAGAAAACATCAAATAATTTAAGTTCCTGATCTTATCCTGCCTTTGTTACTCGGGCAAACTTTCCAGTGACTCCTATGTGGCTAATGCTTAAGGGAAGGCCAAAGGAACTAGTCCAAAACTTGACAGGTGATTAGGAGTGACGGTCTGCGCCTCAGCATCCAGGATTTCCCAGGCAGAAATGTGAGCGTGGCTGGGAGGACACCAGCACAGCACACATCTGCGGCTCCTGGCATCCCTCAGAGCTGTACGGTGCTGAAGCCCCGACCGTCCCACTGCCACAGTAAAAGGACGTGTGCGAAGGAGCATGAGCCTGGAGAGCAACCCGGACGGCAGGGCTTTCGGGAAGGATGCCAGAGCCACCTGCGGTGCAGGAATCAGCACCAGAGACACACGTGGAGAGGCCAAACACACATCAGATTATTTAAGCAGAGAACTCTGCAGCCATTTTAAATGAAACTGGACACTTGGGACCTGCGCCAAAATGTTTGCGAGGCTGCATCTCCCAGTGCCTGCATGCTTTGCAGCCCCGGAGCAAAACGAGCGGTGCTCCCGCTCACCCCTGGCAGGATTTAGCTGGCACAGAGGCTGGGCAGGACTCTTCCACCCCTCTGCACTGGCGCCTGGCTGGCGTTGGGGCTTTCACCATCTCCAGCACCCAGGCTCCGGTTTACACACTGCTTGCTGCCCTTTCTCTACACAGTATTTTTAACTAATTATTTCCCTTGATACCTGAAACCCTGCTGCAAGATTCAGTCTGCTGGCATCTGTGTATGGATACCAGCATGTCCTAGCAAGTGTCACAGTTGAAACCAAAAATTTGTTAGATTTGCATGCTAGCCAGTGGGCACATCCATTTTCCAACATCAGTATCATAGGTTGGGATGAGAACTAACGATGTGCAGACACCACTGTGTGTGCCTGCCTGTGCAGACTTCCATCAGGTTCGGCATCAGGGCCTAACGTTATTTTCTCTTCCATAAATAGCTTTCAACAGCCTCTTTAAATGAATTATTATCACATAAATAATTGCATCTGAATGAAGGCTGGGTATATATACTCTACTGCATTCATTCAAGACAAAAGGAGACAGGTAAACGACAAGTATACCATCAGATAAATCTCTGAGAAAGAAGCCAAAACAGAGAAATGTATATTAATTGCACAAGTTTAAAATCCTTTGGATTTTGTTACACAGGCATTTTATTTCCAAACATACAAATTCTTTTTTATGGATTTTTAAATGTGTAATATGCATATGCTAAAATAACTGTTATTGCAATTTATCATCAGAGAGGGCTTCAAAATACTGTGATGAAACTGGAAACTGGTTCCGCCATCCTGAGAGCAACCGAACTTGGTCCAACTATACCCTGTGCAACTCTTTCACCTCTGAAAAATTGAAGGTATGCTACAGTTAAAAAGGCACTGATTGGGAATGGTTTGGGGCTGGGCTAGCAGTAAGACACATATGAGAGAGATCAGAATAGTTCTCATCTTTCAGCTCTGTTTGTTGCACAAGGATTTAATAGCATTGTCCTCGTGATTTTAGCTTATTAAAATTATTTGATGTGTGCTCCAACCTAAGTACAGGTTTGCTACAGGGTAGATAATTTAGTAGCAATTCATGTGACAAGTTTTGCAGCATTTTTCAAATGCGTTTTTTAATTCCTATGATTTTCCCTGATTGTCCAACAGTTATAAAATGATCCTTTAGAATTTCAATTTTGCTTTCTGTAACAAGTATCTTCCAAGCTGTTGATGTCTTCTCTGCAGGGCTGGAAATGTTAACGTAAGTTAAAATTATTTTTCTTAAGCAAGAAATATCGCCCTGTACTCACTCCCTTTGAAAAGAAATATATATGAAAGTACCATTAATCCAGAAAATCCTACAAGCCTGAACACATTTAACTTTAACAGTTTGACTGAAGTCTTGGAGACTATTTACAATAATGAATTAAGCATTTGCATTAATATTTCCAAAATCAAGTTGCTAAGCTGAAAAAGGAGAACTAAATACAAAAGCACCAAAAGAAACAAGGAGAGAGAAATCTAAGAAAAGCTTAAAAGAAATTAAGTTGGGGCAGCTCATGAAAATAAACATATTTCTCAAATGTGAGTGAAGCTCCAGGAAAATCTGATTACAGATTTGTGACAGAATAATTTGTGACTATTTGGAATTGTGGAAGGAAAAGAGTCAAAAAGTTATTTGATTTGGGGTTTGTGTTGGAGAATCTTTTTTTATGCAGCCAAAAAGCAGTATGTGGTTATATTTAGTCATGATCCAGCCTAAAGGGCCTTGGAAAAGTCTACTGGACTAGGCAGGAGGTGAATTCTAAAAGTTTTTGCAGCATGAGGAACCATCATGATAAAATGGGGCTCACCTGTGTGACAAAGAGAGAATAATAGTAACAATCTGAGCTCACAGAGGCATTAAATGGAAGCACCATAAAAATACAATTTTTCCAGATGTTGGCCCATGTAGGGAGGCAAAAAATGTAGTTCTGTTACCTATTATTCATGCCTTCCAGAAGAACGATTTTGAACATCATTCAAGCAAACTGCAGATAGAACACAAAGGAAAATTATACGTACATCGAGATTCTTCTGAACCAAAAAATGATGGAAAATGCAGAAAGAATTTATCTTTACAGAAACGCCAAGTTAGACTATGACCTTTAATCCAAGTCTTCAAATACAGGAGTATGCTTCATTTGTAGACTATTTCCATGTACCTACAGGTAATATAATTAACTGAGTAGGAGGTATTCTTATTAGAGGATTCTCTTTCCTCAAGTGAAGAATTCTAGAGGGACAAAAAAGAACATTTAAGTGTTTCTTTTAGAAGTTTTCTAAGCCCAGGATGACAAAATCTGCATAAGATAAAAATTTGGTGAGTCAGCGTGTCATAAATCCTATATGTCAGAAGGGACATGGCAGATTGCCAGTTCAAGGAGTGCAGAAATTAATAAAATAGTTCATTATTTGTTTGAAGTTAACTGGAAATACCAACATGCTATACTTTAGAGACAGAGCACTTAAAAAAAAAAAATATTGCAGCCAGTTCTTAAAAATGTGGTGGTAGACCATATGCTTTGTTAGTTGACGGTTCAGTCCATTCTGATCTGTCTTTGTTGTTATATTTGGGAAGCTTTTTGAGCAGTTAACCATAGTAAGTTTACGTGGAGTCATCAAAAATGCAGTTATACTATATATACCAGGTATGCAGTTAAACTGATTTAGCAGTTGTACGCTGAAAGGTAGATAGGTTGAATAACCAAGAGTCCTCTGGAGTGCACATAGACTTGCATGTAGCTATCTGGAAGCCTTTCCTACTTTTAGCTGTTTCAGGCTAAGGGTGGTATACAGGAGAGGCAGCAAAACAACATATTTTTGAACAGTTCGTCTATAAATTAAATTCAGGCTTAAAAATTATATCAATCTAATATCATGAAAAACCATAGCAACCACTTAGTATGGAGTGGAAGAAATGTCACATGCACACAGGTAAAAACCTCTCCCACTACTCTGTGTTCAGAAAGTAGTCTCATCTTCTCTGCACTCTGGTCTTCCCTCTCTGGGGTTGCTGGTGCTCTCTTGAACAAGTTGTCAAGCATTTGCGCTCACTAGCAATGTTGTAGTTAGTCTTTGTGAAGGAAAACTAGGAGACCTAGGGTGTTTGCAGTAAATATGCGTAGATTTCCATAATTTGGTGAATGATATTTACACTCGGATCATGTCTGTTCTGCATGGTCAGGATGGTGTAAATGTGACTTTAAAATCTGAATCAGGCCACCACCACTTAGGTTAACGAAAGCAGGAACTGATTCCAAAGTTGTAAAATGACTGAAGAACAAACTAGATAAGAAGATGTGCACCTTTGCTAAGAGGAATGGCTTTGTTTTCTGAATTTTATTCATATTTTTTTTCAAATGAAAGTTTAAAATTACTTGGAAGCACCAAAAAAATGTGAGTCGCAAAACTTAGGGCTAGAGAAAGCAATTCATCTAATCGTTGAAAAAAGGAAAATTGCTCATGCATAACAAAAGAAAAATGAATGAAATGGAGCTGAAAAGAGAATAAACCAGCAGAGGAACTAAGGCCTGCTATCTAGTCTTTTTTTCAGGACAGGCTGATACTATATTAGTGCTTTCAGAAAAGACGGCAATGGTGAAGCCTGGCATGCCATTGTCGCGAATGAGTAGTTTTGAGGCCACTTAAAGAATCATCGGCAAAGGTATTAGCAGAAAGCTCTTTTAATAGAAATTTATAAAAGCGCAACTTAACAGAATTCGATGGCAAGGTTCACTCTATTACTCATTACATGGATTAAGTATACACAGGGGAAATCATGTCAGAATTGTGCTGGAATGATTTGTGCAGAGATTGAGGACAAAAGGGTAAGGGAGACTGCTGACTCACAAGGTTCAGAGAAGGCCCGGCTGGATCCAATCTTAGTCTCAGACTTGGACAACGGTTTATGTCTAATACAAGAAAGGTAAGGAGACCCTCCCGTTGAGTCACGAGGTTCAGAGTAGACCCCCTTGCTTTCTAAACTCCTTCTCAGAGAGGAGTCTAGGTGCGGCTGGATCTACCCCTAGTCTCAGACTTGGTCGACAGTTTATGTCTAAGGGATTAGATGTGTCTAGCAGAAATCTAAAATACATTCATAATTTTAAGCTGGATCACAAGATTTTAGCAGCACTTAATCATTGCAGTGACTTAATTACAGATTATGCTTACTATTGGTTATCTGAATCAATTCACACACACACACGGGACCTAAATCAATTCACACACACATGCCCAAAGCTAAATAAGGTATCTGTTAAAAATTCCCCTTGAGTTTCATGAAATGCTCACGTTAAATGTCTTGGCATTTCTCAATGAGCGAAGGGTTGAGCCCCGAGGAGTGTCTCAGCCGAGGAGTGTTTCAGCCTAGGTCCTGAGGGTTCTCTGAATGTCACAAACCACAGAGTTTGCTAACTCTGAGAAGCGTCCCATTCAGAGGGAGATTCTGGGTGCAGCCCGCTGCAGTCCAGGAGAGCCCAAAGGGTCTCACTTAACACCACTGTTTGTAGGTTCACAGGATGATTGGCTTTAGTCATCAGTAAATTTCCATCCTGGCCACAATCTGGAACAGTAACAATGGTACCGTTCCACTCAAGCTACAATCCAGGTAGGGAATGTTTCAAGGCTGTCAGGGATGATGAATTATCCCCACTCTTGCTCCCTACCTTGGTCAGGCAACAGGTGTTCCTGGTACAGTCAGTGCCGCTCCCCGCCTTAGCCATGCAAGAGTGCCTGGTACAGTCAAGGGATGCTTAACTGCCCAACTCATTACACGAAAGCTACGGCCTAATGGGGGTTCCTGAGATTGTAGAGTGGTCCGGGATTGGAGGGGAAATGCACCACCATAGTCATTTAGCCTCCTGCAGTCTTCTGACAGCTGGGTGATGCTTAAAAGCTTGGCTGAGACCAAAGTATGACATTTCAATATAGAATCATAGAATAGTTAGGAAGGGACCTTTAAAGGCCATCTAGTCCAACCCCCCTGCCGTGGCCCCCCACCTCCAGGTGGGGTCTCACCAGAGCAGAGTAGAGGGGCAGAATAACCTCCCTCGACCTCCACCTTCTCCTTCTCTCAGGAAGATCTCCCTCCTGAGTTTGGTTTCCAGTTCTGAGTTCAGCATTGCGTAGGCAGGGTTTAGATCATTTGTCCCTAGGCGCATCATCCCACTTTTTTCTGTATTAAAGCTCATATGGCATCTTCTTGTCTCCTCAGTTGTGTGAGGCCCTTCTGGAGTCCCTCACTATTATCTGGAAGACCTAAGTATCACCTGGAAACTTAGAGATTTCTCTGCATCGGGTTACTGCTGAATATGTTGAACAAAATGCCATCCCCAACACCAGTCCTGAGGGCACCTGTCCATTGACTCATCTTCAAAAGTGACCATTAAGCTTTTGCTCCCTGTTGTTTAAGCTGTTTTCAAACCATAAAAGCTTTCTTCCAATCCTGCGGCAACTATTTTCTTTAATAATTTTTTTGTGTGGAAATTTATAATGGGCTTTTTGAAAATCCAAATGTATTATGTCTGCTGCGCTCTCCTAGAGCTTGGGAAAGTTAGTGATGCATAGTGTGAGCAGGGATCCCGCCAGTTACTTTAGTGCAGCAGAAACAGATCAACTCATGTAAGAGACACTTATCTCATCTTCAGACCATGAGTCATGCTATTTAATAGATTGCTGATATTAAAAGTATATTGAAAAAGAACCCTTGAAAGAAAAGAAATACAAAATGGGAGGTTGATTTTGTAGAACTCAAGCCTGCAAATTATTCATGCTTGCCTTTTCTTTTTGTTAAATTGCAGATGGCGTTCATACTTTATTATATGGCGATTGTTGGCCATGCTTTGTCTATAACATCCCTGTTGATTTCCTTGGCAATTTTCTTCTATTTCAAGTAAGTGTTTCTTACAGACACTCTCTCTTCTTTCCCTGAGGGATCTCAAGTGGTAACCAAAGAAAAGCTTGGAAGGGGACATGGCAGTGAGAAACAGCTCTTCTGAGTGCCTTTTTATACAATCCTTGTAAAAACGTCTCAGCACAGGGTCCTCTGACCAATGGGACATCTCCCAGTGGTGTGTAGCCAAGATCATGCAGTTAGATTTATCAAGACTGGTGTAAAAGTGCAGCCCATAGGCAAATGGTGTAACTGGGGATGCAGTAAGGCCCTTCATTTACCAGTTGCCTATTGTTCCTTGAAGGGCATGTCCAGCCCCTGGCAGGTGCAGTGACTGCACAGGGCAGTGCTTGGAGCCCCCCAGCTCCTGAAGGACAAGAATACCTTCATCCGATGCTGAAGGACTGAGCTGTTGACTTGAGTAGGTGCTTACAGGACTCGGCACTAAGCGTGAATCTGACATCAGCATTAAAAGGAAAAACAGTGATGTGCTGTATCAGAACTTTAAAGGAGACTAAATTCATATTCACTGAAAGCATTGTAGCTACTGTATGGCAACCTAACTAGAGCATTTAAATCTTGTCCTTTAGTGAACCTGTCTGCACACTATTTATTATAATGTGTCTGCAGTGAAGGAGCAGAAGGAGCTCAGATTTGCTGTCAGACATGTATCACAGCTTCAGTTGCAATCAGTAGTGAAGGGCTGTCTGGGAACAGCCTTTGGTTTTCAGCTCAGGAAAATGGTAAGCACTAGAAGACATCAAAGGCACTGGGGAAAATATTCAAGAATAAACAATGGACAAGATCCTGAGCTATTGTACATCCAGAGCTATGATGACTTACATAAGCTATATTCTTCTAGCTCTTAAGAAACCTTTTTAAGGTATTTCACTTTTGTAACATTACTGTAACTGCAAACTTCCCGGACTGATAGCACACTCAGAAATCAGGGTTGTAATGTCCATTCATAGATACTGTGACGAAACAGGATGAGGCATCAATATAATGACCCAAATGGGATGGTATCTTACTGATTTCAGCAAAGGTGCATCAGTTACTTGTAATCAGATAGCCAGACCACCAGGTCATGACCAGAGATAGGGAAATGCTCACCATCAGTAGAGTATATCTGGAGATAACTGCAAGGTAATCTAAAAGGCCAGGTAAAGTTTTCCAACTTTACCCGGATAAAGGTTTCCAAGGATACAATGGAGTATTCCCCACACTGCACACTGGGAAACAAAGTAAGAGTAATAGAAACAATTACAAATGCTTCTGAAAAAATAACACATACATTTATAACCTGATGGACTTTTATTGCTAAAAAACTTACCTCACTCAAGAATACAGAAAAACCCCAAACTCTTTGAAGAATGCAGTATTCTTTGAGGAGTCAAGAATACGAGGAAAATGGAACACCAAAAAATCTTTTTTTCTTCACAAGCTTCTTGTTTAATAAAGAATAGTTGCACAATAATGGCAACCTGTAGTAATGAAAAGTCCATCGCTGTTGTCATTGTAAGAGTATACTGTTTCAAGTCTATAATTAGCCTCCAAGAAATTATTTCAAGCTGAAATAGGCTTATTTCAAGCCAGAACACAAATAGGCCTGTGTGAGAGTATTAATAAGCGTCTTTCTACATGAATGTCAACAGATTGGAGCCCTTGATGAGCATCCAACATCCAATTTTTTGTTTCTTTATCATCATCCTCATAGAAAGATAAATTATATTCTTTTGTATATTCATCAATCTATTTCAGCAGCTCAAAGACATATATGCAATCCAGAAGTATAGAATACTTCTAGGGATTAGTTATCTTTCCAGCAGCCAAAGAGAATGAATTTTGTATACAGGTCAGAATTTATCGTTTTTATTTAGTTGATGTTTCTAGGAAAATGAAAGCCAAAAATAAGCCCTCCAATCTCCCAACTCAAATTTAACAAATACATCAAATGCATTTTTTTCAGATCTTAGTGACCAAAATAGTAACTGTGAATTATAAGCAGGTTCTAAATTAATACCTTCCCACTCATGCCCAATCATGAATATATATATGCCTTATTTTCAAAAAGAACAGGATTCATTCTCCGTAGAACCTTTATTTTCCAAAGCAGTTTTTCACACTGAAATTTCCAAGTCTGATAAGGGAAAAATTGGTCATTTTTTCTATTCCTTTATCTTGCCTTAACTTAAAACAAAGGGTATTTCTGTAAACATTCAGCTATTCCTTTTTGTCACCTGTAAGGCCAAGGAATCTTAATGAAGTACACCCAGTGCATTTTCTGTCATGACAATTTCATTTTAAACATTTACTATGTCGCTTTTAGTATAGAGTTGTTATGTGTCTAAACTAACTGGCATTTGTTAAGTCTCATGGAATTGGTAGATTTAATGTTCTGCAGCATAAGTGAAAAACTTCAATGCAATGTGACAAACTTTACGTGCTGGATTGTGAGATATCATCAACTTCATTATCTGAATTTCTGAGACATGGTTTTCTGGCCACAAATACACATATGAAGATTTGTAGAATCCATTAGTATATAGCAAACACAAAATTCCAGCTTACATGTGCATAGTAATTGCATAAATTTGGGGAGAAAAAGAACCCCTTGCTGAACCCCCACCTCTAGTGCACAAGGGATAGTTGCCTTGCTCTAAAAATCTGTAGTGAAAGGTGCTCCACAAACCCCCAGGTACCTTGTGCCAGTGCTTAAATCAGTTCTAGCCTAGAGTCCCTGTATTATTCACTCTAAATCTTACATGAAGCACCTTAGCCTATTTCTGGTCCCAATTTTGATCTATATGTACTACTTATCTATGGATATGTTCAGGTTGTGTGTCTTCTAATAGTAATTTTCTTAGTAACATTATGCAAAGCTTCTCCCTGGTTACTTCATCTGCTGCTGGTCCCTGGAAAAGTACACCATGGATGAGGGTGTCCATAGAGGCTGGAAAAGGATATGCTGAGTAAATTGAGAGGCCAGAAGAAGCTGGCATAAATCTTAGGGCTATAGAGTTACATGTGTGTGCCTCAACTGTCAAACAGGAAAGTAGTAAAAGAACAAACCCCAAACATCACCACCACCAAGAGTGAGTCTAGGAAACACAGGAACATGAAATGATTGGACTTTGCATAGACTATAAGAGTCTGTAAGATTGCAAGCTCAAAATAGGTGGATCCAAAATACAGGTTGTGAATTCTGCTAATTTCCAGAGAGGCAGTTTGATAAGTGACTGTGATAACGTGCAGTAATCAGATACAGAGATAGCTAAAAACTCTGCCCAATAAACTGATGAAGTTCCTTCCCATCTATGTAAAGATAAAGAGCACAAAACCACAGCCAGAGTAATGCTTTGAGAAAACTGTAAAGAGCACAATTTAGTCTGATTCGGAATCTTATACCCAGGCTTCAGAGTTCTTTGGGACAGTAAAGACAGGATCTGGTTAAATTGGCTGCCCAAAATGGACCAAGAAGGTGATTCCTTGCAGGGAGCGAGGCAGGATGAGGCTGTCTGACTCACTCCTAGCTCTGAGTCACAGACAACGCACAATCCTGACCGGTCCCAGGCCGTGCTGAAAGACTCATCTTTGCAGCAGCCTTCCAGATAGTAACACACCTCCTCCTCTCTTTCCTCCTCCACTTCTCCTTCCCCTTCCATGACTAATACATGACACAAAGGTTACAGGAAGAAGTAGAGAAAGGAATTAAAACAAAGCGCTGCAAAATGGGGGGACAAAGATCATAAGAAAGTGAGAATAAAGCTATAAGGGAGCAGGGTTCATGCTACTGTCAGTTGTTTTCTATCATCTGGCTATGACAGCAATAGATTATTTGACCTTCAATAGAAGGCAAGCTGCCAATCAGACAGTCAATCAGATAGCAAGAGATGGTTTCGGGGCCATGTAATAGCCTTTGACTGCAGAGGCAGCAACAAACGGTTTGCAGAGGTTGCTGTTTCCCACATATAAGTCTTTCCTGGCAGGGATTTATTTTCCTCTCAGTTTTGGGTATCAAGATTCATAACGATCTGGCATCACAGATGTTGCAATACTTTCGGAAGGGAATACTGAATCAGTAGTGATGAACATCACTAAGCAATGCTAGCTCATAACAGGAGACAGAGTATTCATAAAGTAGAGTGTCTAACAGTTACACACATCATCACATTATTGCAATATTTTTATAATTGCAAACTGAGACCCCATTATCTTATATGATAAAACACAAAAGAAGAAAAGGACTCCTAGCTCCAAATCACTTCCAATTTAATTATTAAAACAAAGACATTTGTATAAAGACAGATGGGGAGTGTAATAAGTCTAGATTTGCCAGAGTAATAGACGGTGTGTTATGAATGCACCTGCAGTCTAATTGCTGCCAAGGCTTTTAAAGGGAGTTGAAGAAGGATAATGGGTGGAAGGATAATTTGTGGAAGTTTGTTGGGAGTTTTCCCCAGGGGTAAGGGAGAGCACAGTAGAAAGCATGAAAATAGTTTGAAAACTGAACAAGTGGGTAGGAGATGGAAAATAACTGGCTGGGGGTGAAAATTGGTATTCCGGTGTTCAAAAATGAGGAGAAATGACAGATTCACAGTGCAAATTTATGAAGAAGATAATGCTAAAGCTCCTTGGAAGCCAAAATATCCTAGTTTAAATAGAGAAGTGGAGATAGGAACTCAAAAGTAAGGGTGAAACTGTGAGTAGATAGGAGGACCTATCTCTGTCAAAGGAAATGTAGCAGACGTGAAACACAGGGGAACCACGAGAAACACAGGAGACTCTGAAACTCTGAGGCACAATTGATAGAGGCATAGTGACACAAAAAACTCACAAGTTTTAGACCCTGATAACTTAGTGATGCCTTCTTCCATACTGACTAATGAAGCAGAGTAGGGAGCATAGAGAAAGATGGGTGGGGAGTGACAAGGAGCCTTCAAAAACACCATGAAGAAATGATTAGGATATCAAGAAGAGGGCCAGGACGAGAGCTAAGACAGGTCAGAGAAGGAGATGATTACAGACGATTGTCAAAACCAGCAGAGAGAATGAATCAAGTAAAGGTTTAGGTTTTGCTAGAATGTTCTCCTCTTGGTGTGGACTGAGTCAGGCAGGTGCTGATGCCATTTTGATGGCAAATACTGAAGGTCGAATTAAAAAGTGAGAGTATGGAAATATACACTTAATGATCCAGATGGGTCTTTAACGTGAAAGCTGGAGTCATGGAAAGAAGGTGGGAATTCTGAGAGGAAAGTAAGAGAGCAATGCAGGAGTAAAACTAAGAGAGGGAGGCAGGCAGGGAAAGGAGCTTGGACAGCAAATGAAGGCAACATGCAGTGAAGGACAGTGCAATTTAATAGAGGAGTAAAACTGGCAAAAGTCAAGCGGAGACTGAGGAAGGAGAGGAATGGGAGTGGAGGCAGGTGTGCCTGGCAGAGATTATCACAAAAGACTGTCTCTCTGTACTGGTAGCCATGTAGAGAGGCAGCTGGAGAGACAAGGGTCTGCATCTCTGTGGCCAGGAGCTGAAGAGACTGCTCTAAGTAATAGGGAAATTTTTATTTCTGCAAGAGAAAGACAGCGGGAGATGGGCACGTGATAGTGTCCCAAGAAAAGTGGGGTCAGTAGCATAGGCGAAGTATAGTGATGGAGAATGGGGAGAAAGGAAGAATCAGGACTGGATAAATACCACCAGAGCTTAGGAGCAGAAAAGAAACGTTAGACTGGATTTGTGATGGGGGCAGATACAGATGGAGTAAGCACAAGAACACAGTGTAGGAAACACAGCTCCAAAGAATGGTCTGTTTTGCCCAATATCCTGTCCTACAGTGGATCAAACTGAAAGTGCACCTAGCCCCATATCTGGTGCTCAACAGTTGCCAATAGCTGATGCCGAAGGAAGAATATAAAATCAGGGCAAGTGTAAAGAGATACTCTCATTCCTAGCCCCTGGGACCTGCATCTCATGGACATCCTGAACCAAAGGAGGTGTCTTGGTAAATAAGGAGGTCAACAAAAGTGATGAGCATGGCAGGATGATGATGATGACCATAACCAGAAAGACGACCTCAAGCTGAAGGAAGAATTCCATCCAATGACTCAGAAAATAGGTGTAAGGAGAACTAAGACTGAATGGCGGATGACCAAGGAGCTAAAAAAGGAAAATAAACAAATAAACAAACAAGCAAAATAAGCAGGAAAGAGTTCAGTTGGTTAGCTTAGCTCTCTGTTTTTAAAGAAAGTGCATTCCGCATTAGCCTCCACATGCAGAGCATCAGAAAGTCACAGCCTGTGCTCCATTCCAGACTGCAAAAGACTCCCAGTGCCGAGGGGGAGGCTTGTCTCAGTGGGACAGCAATACTTGCTCTTAGCTGGTTTTTACCTACAGGTTTTGCCTGCGTGCTCTCAGTGATCACTGAATACAGACATCACAGCATTATCTAACAACTCCATGATTGCCTTTCTGAAATCACCTCCTGCCAGCTCTGGGCTGTGCTCCGGGGCATGGAGCGCTGCGGGGGCGTTGTTCTCTGCATCAGGGGTAGCCGAGGAGGTGCCATGAGGATTTGGGCATGAATTAGAAAGGGGAGATGGTTCAGGTCTGAAACCACAGTCATGATTCGGTTGCACAAGAATCCTGTGAACTTCTCTTGTGAAATTCTGCTACCCACAATAGCAGAAATCCTACCCTCCCCAAAATCAGCCATTCAGAAAAGATTGCTGCTCCTTCTGAGCAGGAAAACAACCTCTTCTGATTTGGGATCTCAGCTGGAGTTAGAAATATGCAGGATACCAACACAAATCCCCCTGTAATTTAAGGGGATTCCTGCCCAAAGCTCCCATCCCGTCTCACCACTAATTCCTAAAGTAGCAAATAATTTTCATCTGAATATTTGAGAAATGGAGTCTCCAGGGAACAGTTACTTATAAAGCACTATTCCTGATGTTCATTACTTGTATCATCCGCATCTAAATTCTCAGGGTTCTGCTTCACCACTTAATATCTCGATTACCATGAAATAAAGAAAGGCATCAAGGGCTGAGAATGTAGCCGGATGGCTCTTTTCAACATGGTCTAAAAAGCATCTGGTACTAAACAGGTGTAAAAACAAAACCAAAAATTTGTAGAGGTTATGGCTGCAATGCAAGGCATGTATTTTCCGATTACGCCTTGCCAAAAGGCATTCTTGAGAGACTTCTTGCCAGAAAGATCTTGTTAAACTGACATCAGAAGAAAAATACTAATTTACAACGTGTGCTACATGTTTTTCAGGAGCCTCAGCTGTCAAAGGATAACACTGCATAAGAATTTGTTTTTTTCTTACGTGCTGAACTCCATGTTTACAATTGCCCACCTCATTGCTGTTGTACCTAACCCAGGCCTTGTAAAAAGAGATCCTGTAAGTACTGCATGACTCCTCTCCATCTTAACACCCAAGTAAAATTACTACGGCCACGCCAAAACCAGACATTCCCATTCACCAGCTAATGACAGCTGTCTGGTAACACACGCACGGAGGGTGCAGATTCTGAGAATTTCACTCAACCTTGCTCAGATCTTTCACCAAGCAATAAAAATCTTTGAATTTGGTACAAGAGGGAGAAGCCTCAGACTTGCTCCAGCCAGCCCATCCGTCTAAACGTGTGTCAGATCCCCACCGCTCTTGTGTCAGATCCCCACCGCTCTCAACCCTACCTACCTGACATTTCCCAACGAAGCCCCCGACAGGACAGGTGCTCTCGGTGGCCGTCTGTCCTCTCTCACAGACACACACACTGGGGAGGGGCAGGGATGGAGAGGGATACGGCTTTTTTCAAAACCCCCCCAAAAGATGTTTGCTACATTTTTTTCTTGGGAGGTGGTAAATCAAAGCAATAGCTTGCTTCACAGCTCTTAGATAGTGATACAAATTGTGCCGGCTCCTCAGCTGATAAATATGTGTGGCAGATCTCAGTCACCCAGCTCTGACCTTGCTCTCTAACAGAGCGATCGCATTGTGCTTGCCGTCGTTACAGCAGCCCCGGCTGATGGGAAATTAATGCAAGCCTGGGAACCTCTCAAGTTATGTCACAACACTCATCAGCTTGCCTTCTAATAAGATCGTTCAATTACAGTTCAACCATTTATCCGCTTTGAATTTTGTGAAAGCAATTAAATATTAGCACCTGATATTATCTGATCACATCTGTCTGAAATGTGTGCTGGTTAAGTAAGCTAATTAAAGCTTACCGGTTAAGTAAGCTAATTAAAGCAGGAAATATATAGACTAAAGAAAACGTCACCCGTTCCAGGGACCATCTGGAGATTAAAAAATAGAAAAGCAGAAGAATAATTAAAAAATCACACATTTTGTTTCTCCTTGCTGCATAGCATCATACCTACGTAGCCTGTGCAAGAGATGCAATGAAAATACACTTGATATTTGAAGATAAAAAGCTGGCATATGATATCAGACGCCTAAATTGAAGCAAGGTCATTACCTCAGGGTTAAGAGTGATACTTCCTAGCAGCAGAAGTAAATTATCTGAAGTGCTTTAAACTAAAAGTTGACGCCGTGGCGAGGACTCCTATGCTCTAAGATTTCATTAAAAACCTGTATCTAGTGCCTTTGGGCTGGATCTTTATTTGGAGTGAAATCTCGACCCCAGTGAAGCCAACAGAGCTCTCAGAGGCTTCAGTAGAGCCACATAGCCCCAGGACAGGTACTGGCACGCTGAGCATCACCTGACGAAAACCCCAACCTCTGTTGCTATGGCAACAGACAATATAGAAATGACATAAGTGGTTACCTTTGGAGGCTGTGGAGCCCCAAAGCAGTGCAGAGGTTCATGTATGCAGTTAGCTTTCAGGTCTTGGTCTGGACTATGAAGAGAACCCTTAGTGCTGAATACAGGCACGGAAATCACCCAAGCCGGTGTCCTTCCACTGATGTTACTGAATATAGCTGTGTTAGCAAACCTGGCCGCAGCTAGTTAGCTAAGCACGTGCTTTGGTGAAAAAAGCCCTTGTTTTGCATTTTCTTCTTCCAAACAAAATTTGCATGTCTTTGACTCAGCAGTGAACTGCTGTCTAGAGGCGAGGTGCAAAACTTGGGGCCAGAAGACCTGGGGTCTCCCATTTTTGTTCTGCAGTCAAGTACGGGATGAGGGTACACTCACTGCTTGATCTTGCCTCACTTTCTAGATTTCCCTTCCTTAAAAAAAAATCAGAAAAAAAGGAGAGGTGACCTGCTAATATGTTCAAAGACTTCCCAACATTACTAGAAAGTGTATTCTGTTATTTTAGTAACATAATAAACTTGTAAATACATGACTGGGAAAAGAAAATGAACTGCCAAGGGCAAGTTTTTAACACATGATGAAATTACATATAGTCTCCATATGAGTATATGAAGACTTAAAGGATTTATGTTAAAAATTTACTTACTCCACCATAATATTCTTATTTTAATGCCAATTAACAGAGCAAATGAAGGTTTTATAGCTTGTTTTTTTCTATCCTTACTGCACCCTCTGTTTTATTAAGTCCATTTTAAGATGACTACTTCTGACTTTCTGTAGTTTGCTGCATTTATCCACTTTCCACCTGTGCATCTTCTGAGCTTGACAGGCTCATGTGTGTATGGCTCCTACCTCCAATATATACAGAAATACTGAAGTGTGTAGAAGGAATTTCAAACAGTCTCAGACACCCCGTATGTGATGGCCACGTCAGAGATGAAGTTGGTGATATTTATTCTGCAAAACAATAAATGTGTTTCCACCCCAATAGCTCCTGCTTTTTTTTTCCTGCATAAAGTTTCACAATAGATTTTAAATATGCAATGCCATGGGAAAATACTTACCGTGAATACGTATTTATGAGGATATCAACAAATCCATACAATTTTGAAAGAAGAAGGAAGGTTCTGTTAAGTAACAAAGAGAAAAGACAGGAGGAGCAAGAGAGGAGATTTATCCTGACCACCAAGACACCCACATTCTCACTGTATCCAGACATGAAAGATGTGAGACAATCCAAAGCATCATTTACATGAGAAGAGGTCATACTGCATCCTTACTTGCGTATAGTTTGCTGCACAGAGTTAAACCCTTTGATGATGATTCTACTCATGTAAAATGGTAAGTCAAGCCACTTTTTCAATATGTCTTAATTTGCTTTTTTACCTCGTTTTTTCCTGCTTTCTGGTTATATAATTTTTTTTTTCTTTTCTCTCTCTCTCTTTCACTCAGATTTATCTGGATCTGAAATGGAGGAAGAGAAAGATGTGAGCTCAGGTGGCCATACAAGAAGCAAAGAAGCAATGAAAAAGGTTCAGGGACACTTGAACAAAAAAAAACAGGACACATGTATGAACCCTTATTTACATATACTGAAAACTGTTATGTGAGCTAATTTTTTGCATGTTGTGTCTAAAGTAGCAACTGCATTAATTACACTATTACTGGAACAGATTTTATAGGAAGGGGTATCTTCTGTCACCTTCTTAAATGAGACTGACCCACAGAAGAAGGGTGATCTGTGAACAGCACATTACGTTCTCCATTAAAAACCGTGGAACTATAAATAAAGCTTTTGCTGACTAATCTTTTAATGTAGTCTTGCACATCAGATCTGTATTTTTCATTTTTTTTATTCCACAATACTAGTAATTTTAATACTCTATTCTGGTGGGGGTAAAGGAAAATACGGCTAATGACTGGAGGAATAGCTCTGCTAATGAGAAACTGAGTAATTGATCAGCTCCATGGGCACCAATATAAGTATGTTTGTAGATGGGACTAAGTTTGGTCACAAATCAGTAATGGCTCAGTAGTTGGAAACTCATCCAGAAAAGCTTTAAGAGATCTTACTGCATTTTTATCACTTTCCTGTTCTAGTAGAGATAATATCTGTTCTCTTCTTTCTCCAGGCTCTTCTGTAGTCTCTTCACTTTTCATGTACTAGTTTCTCCTTTGCTTCTGGCATTGTATGGTGTGAAAATTTCAATTGCAATTGCAGTTTTATAGAGTCCATAGCAAGGGCCAGTGCTCCACTGGGAGCTCCGGGGAGCCATGTGTGGGCTCTCATGCTTGGCCATGGTATATCAGAGTAAGGACCCAGCATCCATTCAGGCATGCTCCAATCCCACTGTCAAGTCCCAGCTGTCTGCCACACAGCTTATTTAAGGTTTTATGTATAAATAATCTGTACCCCCTCTTGCATGGGTACAGCAGCAGAGCTGGTAAGGGAGAACCCAAGCAATCTATGTTTTATTGCAAGCTACTTCTTAGCAAGCACAGATTGGGCATGGGCTGGGCTGAGCCTGACATAGTCCTTTCCATCAGCAGTATCTGTAACTCGGCTCTTGCTGAGGTGGAAAATGCCTTGGACATGGGGTATGATACACTGAAGCCTGTTCTTGCCTCCTTGTGTAGATATAGATATACTTCAAAGATCCTGAGCTAGTTTACCACTCTAGCTGATGGCGCAGCATGCACTCTGTGTCTCTAACAGGACCAGCAGCACAAGCATTTCATTATCACTGAAAAGCTGAATCACTGTGGGCACGAGGTGGGATGACAAAGCCACTAGGTTTATCTGTACCACCTGAAGCTCATCTGGTAAGAAGCAAGTCTTCAGGAGAAACCACTAAGCTGCTTCCCACTGAGCATTATTAGTAAGACCAAGAGAAAGTGAAAAAGAAAGCACAAAAGCTGGTGTCCACTAGCATTACAGTCTTTAAAGCAAAGCCATGGTAGTATTAATATTAAAAAAATTAGTATCCTCGTGGACACTAGAACACTGTAAATAATCTCACCATTGAATAATTCAAGTGAAAACCATGACTGTCCCAAGTGACCAAGGTTTTCCTCCCTATCACTGTAAAACAGTGGAAATAAAAAGTTGAGCTGTGTGGGAAGATGAAGAGTGTATAAAGGGTAGTTACTGTGATTTATGGGGTTAAGATACTGTTGACTTCCCCTATTCTCAAAGGAATAGACAGGGAATGAGACCCAAGAAAACAATGAGATTCACAGCATTTCAGGAACAGTGTTAATTTTAGGTCTTTTTACCATGTAAGTGTTACCTTCCTCGTTTCTTGTGGCTTTCACTTCCTTCTGATGTAGCCTGACAGAGCCTGGGGGGAAGTTAAAACATATTTTTCTCAAATGAGGGCCCCATAGCTGATACCCGTGAAGACAAACGGCAAAAATGCTGCCCCGTGTGACTTGTGTTTGCCTCAGTAGTCCCAGCAGTCCCCATGGTGCAGCCTGTCCTGGAAGCAGCAAAGGTGGAGTTCCACAAAGGAAAAGGGAGCTTTGATCCTCTGAGTTGTTTCATATATTATGCTTGGGATAGAGCTTCAGGAGGCTCCATTTTTGTTAAATTAATTTGATTCTTTATTAATGTAATTAT